AGAAGAATAAGATCTGGAATCGCATCGAGCGGGAGATGAACGGCGCCGGCTATAAGTGGAACGCCGTGTCCCTCAGGGCGCTGTTCCATAGGCTCCGGTACACGTATCTCAATATTTTGAGGTATGGCCACCAGATTTTTTATGTGCAATTTTGCGTGTAAAATGTATTTGAAGTGTATTTCCCAGTCCCTACCATCCCTTACCACTCGTATACTAGTAGGCGCTCCGGTAGTTTGTATTACAGTTCGTGTACCCAACCACCCATTCCCCTACACTCCCTAACGCACGTATACCAGTGTCCACTCAATTGGTATCTATTACTGTTTATACCGGTAATACCCTTTAGTTTATTGTTTATTATTTTCAAAAATAGTTTTAAGTTTTGATTAATTTACCGGTAATTAGTTTCCTTGCCCTTTGACCTACCGTTCCCCTACCCGTTCCTTATCTCTATGGCCACCATTTGGTGTGAAATCATTTTGTATTGAATGTGAAAAATAAATATTACCGTAACGTTGACTCAATTCTCACTACCATTCCCTACTTACCCCAACCAACTCGTATGCTAGTAGGCGCTCCAGTAGTTTATATTACAGTATTTAATACTCATTATTTTTGTATTAATCTTAAAAAAATTACTTTAAATTAATTTAGTATACTTGTAGACACCCGAGTAGTATATTTTACAGTATTTCATACCAATTACAATAGTTTAGTATAAAGTTTTGAAAAGTTTATTAAGTATTTAAATTAATTCATCTGATCTTATGGTAATATCAGATGTCTAAGCTTTCCATTAACTACCAGCCCTTACCACTCGTACACTATTATGCAAAACAATAGTATTTATTACAGTTTTTATATGGCATTAACGATCAAATAATTTAATTGTTAGGTAAGAGTTAACCACCGTTCCCTCCCTTGCCTTCTAATTGTTTGCAAAACTAGTGATAATTCACATCTCATTTTAACCTAATCCTGAACTTACTTTTAATTTATTGGTGATTACAATCCCTTTCCGCCTCCCAGTCCTCTATTAAAATATGTCTTAATATTAATTTAGAGGAACTTATAGTCATTTTATACACAAAACAATTGATTAACAAATGGTTTTTCGCCACAAAAAAAACTTATTTCTCATTAACTATGTATTAATTGACTACTTATCGCCCCTACCCTCCCGGTGCTCATCCAGTACTGTGCCCAACGAGGACGAGGCGAGGGCTCAGTGGCCTTACTTCCGGTACTTGCATGGCATGGATCTGACGGCCTTCAGCCACAAGAAACACATACAGGACGACAGCGCCGGCACCCCATCAGCCGCTCCCATAGCGACCAATACGGGCCCCAAACGACGTCCGGGTCGACCCCGAAAACAGCCGGTGCTCACCGCCATTGCCAACGACACCGATAGCCAGTATTCGAGCGCCGGTACCGCTAATGTGGACGACGTGGACGGACAGGGATTACGGGGTCGGAGTAATGGCAGTGTCCGCGAGTATAGCGACGGCGCTGAGGGCACCGGTAGTGATGATGAGGACGAGTCCGATGAGGGTATGGTTGGCGACGAGGACGAGGAGGAACTGGAGGTTCGCGAGAATACCGGCGCCGCCGCCGATAAAAAGCATATCAAATGCGAGTGAAGTGTATATGAAATGAGTTTTTTGAGAGAAATTTATATTTTTATGATTAATAGTGAAGTGTTTTTTGGGCCAAAAGTTTTTGGTTTGAAATCTATTTTTTGATTATTACTGATAAATGAATGAAAAGTTTTTTGTTTCCAGTGTTTAGTGTTTTTTCTATGACTATTGAAAATATATTTTTCGTGTTTTCATTCATTAATTTAATTACTATTATATGAGAAAACTATTTGTAGTTTTTGTGTTTGATTTTTATTTTTTAATTTAATTACTTTTTTATACCACAAATCACTTATGATTAGTATATATTTGACTCTAGTTTACGATAAGTTTCTCAAAACAATACATGATTTCTGGTCTCAAATATGAATTGAATTTACAATTAAATAATTTAATGGCGTTTTGTTTAGTGAATGACCCCTGCGTTTGTTACCCCCGTTGGGTTTTTAATGGGGTTTTTCACCACAAATTTTTGGACATAATTTCAATGTCTGTTAAGTTTTGCGATAAAAATGACTGATTTTTTGTGGAAAATTCAGTTGAAATGACTATAATATGAGTGAAAATTGAAAATCAAACGATAATTATATGTATAAAGTCTATTCATGATTACAATTACTGTACTGTATAATGACATAAACTCTCCCTGATTATTAATTTGTGAACAAACAAAATACCATATATTATATGACAGAAAAAACTATATACGATAAAAATGTTTTAAAACTTTTCCAAAAAGTTTATTCAAATTTTTATGACATGAATTAAAATATTACAAATAATAATTATATTATTATTATTAAATTAATTAATAGATATAATGAACGCGTGTTTATTGTACTGTATATTACAAACAGATTATTATTATTACATTTGATTAGTGATTGAGTTTTTTTTGTATAATTTTTTTGGATATTTTTATTATTTGATAAAATAGTTATTAATTATATTATGAGTAGAAAATGAATTGTTTTTTCTCACTCATCGGAAATGTATTTTAAATTATTTGCCAATTAATTGATTTATTATTGCAATAAAATTAATGATTTTTTTTTCATCAAGTGATTGCTTAATCTAGTCAATGAACTAAACATACCCGAGCGCTACCTGTGCCCTATTGGGACGGTAACTATGGATTTAAACCTTATATTTAAATTTTATAATTAATTTAAATAATATGATATTTACAAAGGTTATTGCTAGAAACAAATTAAAAATTATTAAAGGTATCAAGTAAAATTATATAATATGTAGCCATAATTAGGTACAGTAATTCATTGTCTGAATAATACAGGGGATTTTTGTGTGCCTGAACCAATACAAACAAAACTACTTATGACTAAACTTTTGCAAAACTTGTATTTCAAAAGTGATGTCAAAAAACTTTATCTCAAACTATTGGCTACAAGTTTTTTGTGAGCAACTATTGCTATACTAATACGCAATGCATAAAATGATGTGGATAATTAAATTCAAACATTATTTCCTATACACACTATTCACTGACAAACTTAATTTCAACATTGATTGCGCCTATGGTTTGCAAAAAAGCATTAAAACCAGTTTTAACGATGTTTTCTATGCCATTATGACAGCCACCAGAGTATATGACGTATAAGACTACCAGTGCGATGGGAAAGGGAGATCATAGTGAGGGATTGGGAACAGACACCCAAACTACTCATATTACTGGTGCTCTCATACATAAAATGAGAAACTTTTACGACTAACACAAACATACTGTGAGTCACAAGTATTTATAGTTAAATAAATATAATAACTATTATTGTGTTACTATTTAACATACAATTTCATTACAAAAAGTGATATCTACCTAGATAATATATTATATTGTGCTCACACTTAAATATATACTAGTACAAGTATAGTATTATATCTACTATTAATAAAAGTGAACTAATATTTTGAATATTCACTCAACGCTTGTCACAAAAATTTAAAAAGTTTTTGATTA